TTCTGCGTATCTATACATCCCTCACAGCCAAACGGACATGGGTTTAATTGACTGGAGAAGTCCAAGGGTGACTACAATTCTATAATATACACCTCATTTAACCCATGAGTTGGAAAAAAGAGGGTGTGACGTTTGTTCCTATAGGATGCCGACTGTCTATAACAGAGAACGTCTACAAAAGATTACAAACAGTTCAAAGTTAAAACACCAACATTTTTAATTTATCAGTTTCAGGTAACTTTTACCTATCATAACCAGCCCTTTTTGCACAATGAAAAATATCCGTTCTAAAACAGGATAGCTGTACTAAGTATATCCATTCTCTTTTATTAATAAGTGAATGATTTATAGTCTTAGTCAATTAAGACTGGTGTCGAAATCGCACCTAATAGGTGTGGGAACTCGCAACCCCACTGTTGACAGTCCAGTGATACATCCGTTTAACTAGTTAGACCAACCTTTAGCTATGCCCAGCATTTGGGGGAAGTTTATTCCTGAACCTGCTAAAACTAAATTCTTAGATGCAAATCCTTATCAAGGTTTCAGTCTTCGGCCTGATAACATTGATACATTTCGGTACATGTATATACATCGTTTACTATTTTATTTGTAATGACCCTTTAGAGCAACGAAGTAAAGTTTGGGTAAAAAAATAAGTACCAGCTAACTTCTTTCAAGATTTGTTGCAGCATTTAAGCGATTGGATTTCTTCAATTAAGACAAACATGCCATTGCTTTAACGAATTTATTTCCCTTCATAAGTAAAAGGGAGGCGAAAGATACCAAAGGGACATTCAAACTCATAAGTCGAAAATAAACTGACAACGCCATGGCTAAAAAAAAAGACCAACAGACAAACAATAAGTACACAAAACACAACATAGAAAACTAAAGACTGAGCAACACGAACCCCACCAAAAACAGGTGCTCCGGAAGGGTAAGCAGATCCTGCTCCATATGTGGCACCCGTAGTGAAAATTTGAAAAATGAACAGAATTTATTTAATCAACCAGCATAGTAACATATGCCTTACATTCTTTTTACAATTCATAAAAGTTTATAGATATAAGAAGATGTGGTATCAGTGCCAATGAGACAAAAAAAAAGTAAACCATTATAGGTCAAAGTACGGCCTTCAAGTTCAATTCAAACCATAAAAGGTCATATGGTTACATTGATGACACTGAAAATATTGCTTGTACAACTAAAAATGTACGTGATATATGTGCTTTTATATTATTTCATTTCGATAACTCTTTTTGATGAAAAAAAGTTGCTCTCAAAACAAATTATTTTAAGTTTTTCAACCAATTGGAATCTATGAATTGAATAAAACATATTCAAATTCTTAAAATCCGTTCGTAGGCTGAACAAATATTTACATATTAAGAGATTATAAATCACCAATGAAAAACATTTTGGAATTTATATCCGAAATGTCATGTAACGGATCTAATTCGACAGCCCAATATTTTTAATAAAGATATTTTTCAATAAGCTTAAATATCAAGCGAAATTTCAGTATACTGTTATGAAAAAAAAATATATTTAAATTAAATCACTAAATATATTCAGAAGAAAAGAACCAATTTAAATCGAATCACTTCTATAATACACTTTAGTCAAAAGATAATATTTTAATCCTTGACGTACACCGTAGGACATGATTACTTAAATAGATAACTTGTAACCTTTTCAAAATTACGAAGAATAAAAGAAAGAAACAAACTGTGGCTTTGTCAAGGAACGAACGGTGCGTACTGGCACAAACAATAGATAAGTCAAGAAGGGACTCTTTTAAGACCTAGCGAGACATAACGGTAAACAAATTGTGATTTAAAAAATAGGTGAAGAAATTTAAATCGTGTATTGCTTCTAAACGAAACAACACAGGTAGACATTGTGTACGTATAAACACGATCACATATTTAGACAGACGGGTATTTTGATACTAAACACATGGTGTCAGATTTCAGTGTTCAATATTTAGATGTCTATTGAAAATTCTATCGTTTGAACGGAAGTATAAAACATCTCGATGTTAGTTTGATTACCATGGTGATACAAAGTGAGTGTTGAGTTTCTTTCAATTCTTTTTTTTTCTAGTTTATGAATTATTTATGTATATAGTAGATTTTTCTTTCGTATATTTTTTTTTCAGATTAAATATCTCGTACGAACATGAATCACTTCCAATGCCTTTTAAATCACGTTTGACATTTGCCTGTTTGATTTAAAACGCATATTTCTACATATAAATGAGTTAAATATAGTATTTTCTTTCATACTTATACGTGCATTGCAGTAAGATTAACGGTTTCCAGACGAATAATTAAGAACCCACCTTATTAAAAGATATACCTAGGCAGCTAGTAGTGTGGGTACAATGTCTGATTTTAAGTGCAAGGGACTCTATGTCACATGCTCCGTTTATCGAAAATGGATACACATGCTGCCTACAGTACTGTTGCATTTAGAAAATGTACTATTATATATGTGTGTCGTTAGGTTGCTGTCTTGTTGAAGTATAACCTACATCTTCGTTTATTCATATTAAATATTAAAAAGAGGCGATAGATGTCAAGGGTTAGAATCAAAAATAAAAATCGATGAAAAACAAAAAATACGACAAAAGACATACAAAAGTCTATAAAACCCTACGTAGAAAAATCAAAGACTGAGCAAAACGAACTCTCCAAAAACAGTGGGGAATATAAGGTCACGGTTCTGGAAGGGTAAGCAAATTATGCTCCACTAATGACATCCGTAGTGTATTCTTGAAATACGAATATTTTGAACATAAATGATTTTAATCTCTGAATTCAAAATAAACTCATTTTAGAGAGCTTTTATCATTTATTTTGAAAAAAAAATTATTTTAATATTTTCAAATCCTGTTAAAATAATTACTACTAATACTCATGAAAACAAAATTAATTGTAGAAAATAAAGATTAGTAAAGTAAAGTATTTAGGTGTTCGCAGTTATATTACATGTCAGAAGTCAGCAACTCATTGACAACAGACAAAACAAAATTCAAGTTCAGCATACTTTTTCTTAAACAATGAACTACTGAAAATAAAAACAAGAAGATTCGAGACAATAATACAGGGATTTATACAACTATAGCGCCCTGAAAGGCCTTGAACAATGAGCAAAATCCTTAGCGTTCATCCTGCACAACCACAAAGACCCACTGATGGTTAAGTTCTCTAGAAGTTTAGCAAGGTTCTTCGACGTGCAGGTAGCGTGACACTCTTTTTACACGAGGCTGCAAATTGTACCACCTTATTCTGACTATACGTGACTGCGTATTTATGCATCATGCATAGCCAAAGGGACGCCCTTTTGAACGTGGGTTTTATTGCCGGGCGGAAGAAGTCCAGTCTACCCATGTTAACCTTTGGGGTTGTATGTCAAAAGAAAATGAACGTTCATTTTTTTTCCAACTAGGTGTACTATGATAGCTATATTTCATTACTTCTGGTATCATTTGATTCTGAGATGTGATCTTATATCTATAGTCTATAGTCGATTGAAATTGCGTCAAAGGTAACTGTGCTGAAACAAATAGTTCCAAGTATGGTTCTTTTCGAGTTTTATGCACATGTTGTCTCTAAGATATGAATTTAAAAAAATGTGAGGTGCAGTACTTTAGTATACATCCATATAGTTTATAGTTTAATCATATACTGCGTAATGTTCAGCAGCCGGTTGTACGAACGTGTCATTAGTCTAATGAGTCATTAAGTCTTCATTAGCCTAATGCATCATAAAGGCTTAATGAAGACTTAATGACCCATTAGGCTAATGCCACGTTCGTACAACCGGCTGCAGGCCTCGTTTTTAATCAATCGCTTTTAACGTTAATTTTGATTATTAAAGAAAATGTATGTATGTATTGGGGAAACGCATGTGGAAATTTATAGTGATAATAGAATATACAAAATATGGCGGTAGGTTTAAACTCTAATTGATATCCCAAGTAAGAATCAATCCATGACTTAACAATATTCAATTATCAATTTATTCTAAAATTCATCTTTCAATAACAAAAAGTTTTTAACCATGTCATTCTAATTACATTTTCTGAGGTCTGTAATTAAATTTTCATTTCAATTTAACTGTAATGGCTCCTTTGACATTAAAATCAAACTACGTGTGCGTAAAAGTTAAAATTTTCTCGATAAGTCTACGTAAGCTTTGATAATATCTTTGTCGTTAAAGTAATTACAGACTCCGTTTTCAAAATCAACTTAAAAAACAGTTCATTTTCTAACTAAATATTGTTTAAGTTATAATGTAGTACATGTTAGGCAGGAAGAGAGACTTTCCATTCGAAAATATACTTGTATTTACTGCGGAGTATTTCAGAAGAAAGTCACGATTTGTTTTCTAGTTAGGCTCAGAAGAACTAAACGGATTTTCAGAGTGAGTGAAGTTTGTCCGTAGGTTAGCAAGGCCGTAACTATCATTGAGGCAAGTGAGGCAATTAGTGAGGCAATTGCCTCACTAAAATTTTGACACTGAATTTTTTTTTTTGTGTATTTGTTTATGGTAATTAAATACGAAATATAGTCATTGGTTTTTTTCTGTCTCAACCTTAATTTCTATAACTTCACTTAGAATAACTAATGTCGGGAATTAAAACTGCCTGTTGTTGAATGACATTTTAAACTAATTTCATTAACAAAAAAAAATAGTGGAAAATAAACTTAATTGCATGAACACGTGTGCAAATATTAACCACAATTGCTTCAAGAATAAAAAATGGATTTATTTGTTGCTTTTTAAAATCATACCCTTTAGCAGTGAGCTTAATTCGACATTTTTAATTTCCAGTTGCATTATAACTACCATAAGCCGTTTTCAACATGTGTTTTAAAATCTTCTACAGTGTAAAGTGTTTAAAATTAATCTTTATGTTAGTAATACAAGTGCATTTGCATATTCATTAAATCTAAGATTGAATTAATCGTCTTTGTCAGAATTTAAATTGGTGTTAACGAGCATTGGGACTAGTAGGTATTTTAATAATCGAGGTCATTTTTAAATAATTCGTGATTTTGATCTTCTAATCTCACGCATAGAGACGAGAAATTATTTATGTATACACGCTGTTTATTCAAGACTTATCCGGTTCCATGGGAAATATTTCTTATTTGGAGTAGTATAATTATGTTTTATATGGATATTTGTTCCAACAGGTAAGAATATTGAACTATTTTAATAATAAGACGAAGAATCTTTTAGAAACTTTTCATAGCTACGCCCCTATTGTGCAGTAACAAATGCAATCATTGATAATCCCCTCAAATAAACTACAGATTCGGAACGTTCAAAACAATCAACGTTCGTCATATTATCAATAGAGGTCTCTTTTTCATTTCAATTCAAAATTTCATTATTGTAAAACTGATTTTTCTCGAGATTGAGTAATTTTATGTTTTGTGTAAGCTTAACATGTTGAATTTATAGGTTACGTGTCACTTATATCAGCCAACTTGGACATCATCTGTAAAATTTCGAATTTAAAGGTCACTATCTACCTTACCCATCCCCCCAAACAATCTGTGATGAAGGAAATATTTTATCCCAATGCGCTGCAAGATGTTGGCAGGAAAGATTACTAACCAATGCATAGATTGAGACTTAAAGGGGGGATTGTTGAGATCTTAACAATAGTTTAACCCTCCACATATTTACGCTCCATATATGTAGGTGTCTGTCGTATGTATTTTATAGTTTGACATATTGTAGACACATGTCTGTTGTTGTAGACAGTACATTGCTCTCAAGATATCCTTTGGGTATTTTTGTCTTTGGGTTGCAGTCTCATTTGCGTATTCTCCACACCGCCTTTTATTTATATCATATAAATACAGGTTAAACAATAAGATTAGTTCAAACGAAGTAAGTTAAAGAATAATAAAAAAAAAAAAACAGTTTTGACGAAAATGTAATGTCACGCTCTTTTGTTTTGAAGTACAAATATAATGGGAAATTGACTGTTTTTTTTCTCTATTAGACCCCAAAAAGTTGAATTGATCAAGGGGTTTAATCAGGATACAATCAGATATATTATGTAATTTTTACGGCGTCTGTTTTTGTAGAAAAAAAAATAGCAAGTGTGAACCTGAACTGCCTTAACACCTTTGAACATATTAGCCACTCAGTAACAATAGTATATAAAAAGTAACAGTTTAAGATAGATTAATTATTTGTTAAATACTAATAATCAAATATTTATACTCGTTGCTTAAAGGCTTAAAGGCATTCAACGAAAAGGATGAAATATAGAAGTTATTTTTTTAGCGAGATGACCCCCATTTCCCCTCGCCCCAATTTTGATATGTCACAAACTGATATTGCAAAATTTAGATCTGTGACTGTGTATATATGCAATCCACACAGTCACGAGGGCCACTTGGAAGTATCATGAAATGCAGGTAGTTCAATAAATGGTAGCTGTAATTCAATACTCTTGGGTTTTTTTTCGGTGTGGCTCGGATGAATGGCAATGCAAGCTTTCAATATACAATTTCAACTCTTAATAGAATACAAATAACTTTTGACGTCCTACATTTTGCCCAAAAACTTTTAATCATATATCTTGACCTTTTTTGTTAAAGGATGGATTTTAGGTAAGTGCATTGCATATAACTTAAAGTTTTTTCACCTTTTTTTAAAAAGATGCCGAATTACAACAAAATGAAGTAGTTTCACCTGTTTATGTTCCATGACATGGAATCTAAATGTAGTGTAGAAATATGGCCACATAGACTTCTTCCAGCCGGCATTCAGCATCTATCTGAGACTTGGTGGAGGTACTTCAGTCTATAGGCGTGCTGGATTTATAAATACACAGCCACGTCTCTTCCCAAATACGCTCTTGTTTTGCATTGGCTGACTGATGATTACTTTCCTCTTCTCTAAAATTTATCAATCGTTTAGATATAATAAATTGATGTATTGTTAACGTCTCGTAATAAATATATTTCCCCAAACTGTTATCCAAACATGGAAAAATCGTATAACCTTTAAAAATTAATCAGTCTAAAAATTTGTTTGCATATTCAGGCAAGAACTATGTCAAATTCTTTGGAAGACTCCGTGTAGAATTTATTCACTATTTTACTAGACTAGGGACGATTAAGAACTTGACATATGGATTAGACACTTGTGTATTGTTAAAGACCATAGATTACCCTCTACATGTCTTTAAGTGGTTGTTGTCTTATTGACATATAACCCCACATCCCGTTTGTATCCATATGAAAGATCTACTTCCTCATTTAAAAATACCAATATTCGAACTATAGATAAATAAAACGTATGGCACTGATTTCTGTGCGCACGACGTACGTGTTATTTGAATGACCTATATTCTGTACGCTCGAAACCAAAAGTTTTAAAAGTTCAAATAAGAAATATAAAATCTTTGACAGCATAAAAACAAAAAAGGCCTATCCAGAACGATCAAAATCGTTTGAGATCAACTGCTCGAGAGAGTTGGTTGGGTTTGTGTTGCTCACTTTTTTTTGTTTTCTTTATAGTGTTTTGTGGAATTGCTTGTCTTTCGGTTTTTGCCACGGCATTGCTAGTTTTTTTTACGACTTATCGGCTTTGGGTGTCCCTTTGGTATCTCCCGCTCATGTTTTGCAATCTTAATGATAATAAAAATTATATAATTCATGAACTGGAAATTAACAAACAAAATGTCTCAAACATCGGTCATGTTAGTACTGAAGCACTGTGTACTTGGCATATGACACCTTGGAGAATGATAGTGTAGTGGAGGAGGTACCGACATAAAAGCAGTTATGTTACGAATAAGCATCTTAAAATGTTTTTTTAACATGTAGATACATGAACAATGTCAGGTTTGATTTATGAAATATATATATATTTGATAATGGTCTGCCTTCGTTACTGATCTTTTTTTTTAAACTGGCAATCATGCAACAATGTAACATAACCGGAAACTTGTGATTTGATGCAAGTAAAAAATGGATTTTGAAGTATATTATATAATTGATAAAATAATATATGATCATGTAGGATCATGTACAGTAGTGATTTCATTTCCTATACAGATACAATATAACAATAGAGTTGATGCATTCTTTTCAAAATCCACCACATGGTACCTGATGGTATTTGTCTATTTACGAGTTATGAATTATCATTTTTTTTATTTGCTAAAATATTTTCTAACAATGAAGTATTGACATAGACCTTATAGTGGAATCAATACTCGATTGCATATATGACTTGAAGCCAACTGATAACGTTTAAAGTTCTATCTTATTTGTCAACTATTGTCCCCTATAAATGAATGGTGTACCGTGTAAAATTGTCAATATTCTCAGGTGTAATATTGTCTTTTCAATTTATCACATTATATAACGGGTTGAATCAATATATTTTAAGAATTCGGTCGTTTATTAAAAAGTCAAATGACAAAGTATTTAATAGTTATTGGCTAACGTTATACATTGTTATTCCTCCCAATAACTATGCAATTTGTTAACTGAAAGAATATTTTATCATTGGAATGAGTCATTTGATATATTTGCAGTGAAATGGATAATTAAAAAATATTGTTATTTAATATTGTAACGGTTAAAAAAAGGCCACAGGCCTCTTGACCAAGCGATATTGTATCGGACTTTGACAAAAAATACAGATGCGTGTTTATATATAAATATAGGGAGTTGTGGCAGAACCTGTAGAGATGTATATGATTTTTACTTTTTTCTACCCACCGTCTTGATCTAACTTTGAGATACATTATATATTTGGTCACCCGTTGAAGAGCTTTGAGTAGATTGAAAGAAGAGAATTAATAATCCAAATTTTTCTTAGATATATATTACCCCAAAGGTAGACTGGGTTATATAGATATGGTCATCGCTTTGGTTTCTCCGATAAGTTCCGAATTACACCCTTGCTGAAGTGGGTTGTCAGTTTGGCTCTGTGGGATGTATAAATACACAGCCATGTCCGATCGGAATGTGGACGCTAAGTGTATAGAGAGTGCCACGCCCGATGTGCTTTATGAACTATTGTAACGACTCTCTGAAGGGTCCATGGGTGACCTGTTGTCAGGCAAAATTTCTGTCCGTTTCCAACATAACCTCAGTTAAATGTTTCCAGTGGCAATTAAAATTTCCTGCCCTCGTCTCAGTCGAATCCTACTTTGCAGAACCCACTCATTGTATTAAGTATTATTTGTTCTCGTCCTGCAAATGCGTGACATATTTACCTGGACGCTAAGCAAACAACAATCAATCAAACCTTTTCTTTCAGATTTTATTTACCACCCAGTATTTCATGAGACTTGTTTTCTCTTACGTACATTCATCCTATATTATTTCTGTTCCAATTAAAAAAATATAACAAATATATTGAACTACGAGGCAAGCTGAAAGTCAAAGCAGAGTGATCGGTTGTTGTTTGCTTAGCGTTCATTGGCAAATTTGCCATGCATATTCAGAACTAGAAGAAATAATCAATCAATTCAACAGGTAGGTCGGGCAAAGTGGGGAACTCGCCTCCCCCGAAACTTCGGATTATAAAGACTAAATTTTTACGGGATTTGTACAACCTGCACGGCAAAACGAGGGCCTTTCTCTAGCATGTGGTTTAATGTCCGATTGGAGAAATCCAGGTTACCGTATTTCAATACTCTTTCTACTTAAAATGTTTATTTTGTCAGTCAAAGTCGAAATCAGAATAACTCATACAAAGATCTGAAACTGAAGAACGTTACTTGATACAGACACATGCAAATGAATGTTATAACAAATATCTCGATTACACTTTGGCGTCTTTATGTTGCGCCAGTCAATTATTTAGTATATCAGCACACTACTATATTTACTTTGTTGTAATAGTGCAATATGTTGGGAAGAAACAGTAGTCAACTCGCACAGTGATATTTGCCTATAACGACAAAAAACACCTTAAAAGCAATATGTTTGTATTGACAGAACTATACTGGGATATATCAATGTGAAAACTGTCAAAACATCAATTTTCAATATATGTAATTAAATTTGCTAGTACTATATTGAGTTATACCATTTTAATGATTTTATTGATAACAGGTATTCAGATTCTGTCATTAGCAATAATAATATTATCTAAAACAAATATTCCGTGAAGAATGAACCTAATGATTTTCACATTATTTTGCAGGTAACTTTTAACCAGCGAGATTTTTTATAATAAATGATGTGAATTTAAACGTTCTGAAATAAGAAGCTAAGTAATATCAAAATGAATCAGTTCAAGTTTGACTCTGGCGATTCCGCCAAGAAGACGTTCGAGTTTCGGATGTCAAAAAAAGTTTCCGAATTGACTCAAGTTGTTCATATGTTGTTTACCCGCAATCATGAGAAAGAGGTCGAAATTGAGGCTATGAAAGAAGCTTTTGAATATGAAATATTATTAGTGCAAGAAGACGCACAAAATAGAATTGACAATTTAGAAACTAAACGATTGGAATTAGAACTGGAATTAGACAGAGAACGAAAAGCCGGACAAGATCGTCTGAAAAGTGCACTGAAAAATGAAGCAGACAGTCGGGAGGAAGAATGGAAAGCCAAATTAATAGCAAGTGAAAAAAATTTGCTTGAAGAAAAATCCGAGTGCCAAAATCTTCGAGATCTCTTAATAAATGCTCAGAGAGATATAGAAAAATTAAGACAGGGTGTAGCGGATCAGCTTGCTAGTAAAAACGAAGAAATTCTTAGAAAAAACCAGGAATTAGATAAATTAAGAAAATTAGTCGCTAATTTAGAAAAGACCCAGGTTGAAACAGAAACTCATTATAAAGAAATTATACGTGACCTTGAAAAAACAAATGAAAAATTAGAAAAAGAACTTCAACAGTTGCAAGCATTGTTAGAAGAAACACACAGGAATAAAATGAAACTGGAGGAAAAGAATGCTAAATTAGAAACAGACTTGAAAAATTTGCGGAAAGACTTTAGTCGAAAAGTTGCAGAAGTAGTAGCTAGTCAAAAAATGCAACATCATCAGCAACTACAACAAGTTCAAAGCCACCAACAGCCATCAACAAGGCTGTCTCCTGGAGCTTTCACGGTAAGTGTTTCTTTGGTGAATCATGCGTCTTTTTGTCATTTATGGTTAATTTTAAAAGTGAAAATACGAGCTCATTACAGGAAATAATTTCGTATTTTGTTAAACGAATATGTACATTGTGAATTTTAAAAGTCACAAATATCTTTAGTAAATTCACTTTTATTTCTATCCTTACTTAAAGGAAAGTAATAGAGACAATAGCTTTTGAAGCAATTTCAAAATAATAAATTTATAATAAGTATGCATCGATAAAAACAAAACTTGCGCAACTTGTGCAGTAATAATTTCGATCACTGCGTGTGGTAGTTAGTACTAATACACTTTTGATTAAAGTAAGAAAAAAATCAGACATGTTCTAAATGTTAATGTAATTTAAAAGTACAATTTCTACGGTAAAGTGATTTGAAATAAATTTTGGAATTATACCAAGACTTCTTTGAAACATGAACAATCTACTGTAATATACAGATGAAGGGAACGATATTATATTACATAATATTTTTCAACTCAATTCGGATATTTGTTCAAGATATTGAGAAAATAGAAGTTTAAAAGCCAAACAACAACAAAAAGATTACAACATTTATTTAATGTACCAGTCTATAAAAACTGAGTAAAACTCATCAAACATAACATACTAACAATTTTGTATGTCAGACGCAAGTTTTGTCAAGTTTTGTTAACCAGCTGTCAACTAGAAATTGGAGAACTGAATACCAAACAAACAAATAAATAAACAAACAAAATAAATAGTGTCAATGTTTCATATGTTTTGTGTTGGAATACTCGGTGTTCTACATGTACAATGCGGTCTATTAAAAAAAAACAAAAAAACCACACACACACACACAAAAACTAAGCCTAATGAAATTTATGAACTAAAAAAAATAGTTAATCAAATAAGCATATTGAATACTTCTTAAAAGAGAGAAGACAGAGTACGATCATCACGTTCACCCATTCCATCCAATTCTGCAAAGAGAAGAAATAGCCGTGATTCAAGGCAAATTGCCCCCAAGCGCGATGAGGTACTTTTTGGAATAACGTTTAAACAACTACTAAGCGGCACTCACGGATTCATAATCATGTCTGTCTGCACTTGTGGCGATTTTACATTATTTGTGAAAATATACCACTTTGAATTATAATCGAAATTAATGTTTTTTATAATCTTTTTATTCAGTGTGATTTTTCACGTTTATAAGATATATATTTACCTTGCACAAGTTTTGTTTGTAATATCACTGCAAAGTACATGTATGAAACTTTAATGTATCTTAAAACGATCTTGTTTTACTCTTTTCAAAAATTTACTTACTGGTTAGGACCAAGGATTTGTATAGTAACAAATCCTTGTTATGACATACTATAATTATTTTAAAACTGTATGCATGTTTTCCAATTTCATATTAACATATTCTTTATTACGATATTTCAGAACAACAAACGAATCCACTCTCAAATTAAATCGAGGATAGACGTATTCAAAATTACAGTAATCATGGCAAAATAATTAAAAAAAAAAAAAAATGTGGATTTTGATCAACTCACTAAGACGTACGTTTGTGTGTGTGTAATAAAACACCTTAGACATGTCTTAAATTGAAAGGGATAAAATCTGTATCGTTTTAGGAGATTAAGTTCAATATTATATATCCAATAACGATATAACATGGGTATAATCCTTTAAGCGGATTTTTCATTAAATTTTACTGGTAAACAAATAACTATAATTTAAAGTTACATATTATTTTCAGTCACATCATTCATGTACAAACAAGGTAAACTTATATACAGTCTTTTCACTTATTATCAGGGAAACACTTCATTGGCTTCGACAAAGTTGAATTCGAATGTTTTAGATTTGTTGTGACACTTATGAGCACTTAAAATTCAATGAATTTTATTTTTAAAAGTTCAAAGACTAAGGTGAAAAGACTTGTAAAAAATCCTGCCTTTGCTATTATTAAAGGTGGAAAGACATATTTAAGAAATAAATATCTTTCATTGATATTTATATAAGTGAAAAGTAAAAATGGACTATCTTTGATAAAATGTAAATTGGACTTCAGCCAACTTCAATTGTGAAGCACCTTTTTGTATTCAAAGCTTTAGTTGACAATATCAAGATAGTGCAATTCGCAATTAGTAACAATTTTGTCTCAATTTCAATTTCTGTGAATCAATGAAAATTTATTACCTCTGTTAATTAAGTATTGGATGCAATTTAAAATTACCAACTAAGAAACAAAATATCAGCAACAATTTCCAGTAGCGTATTACATCATTTGGGTTGAAGAAGGGTAATAATCATAGTTGATTAATTGCTGCTTATCGGTTGTTAGCTGAAGTTTTAATTTCTAAACGTTTATCAAAGATGGTGCCATCAGCTATGTCCTACTGTCTTGAAATAAGCTATTTATAGTCTATACATATACATGTATGTTACCAAACTTCAAACAATACATATACTTCTCATTTCCGACATTCTTCCTTTTTATATATGACTCATATATCAATTTTTCAATTCTATTCATCCATCTGCTTTCCATCTGTCAATGTTAAAAATAAGCATATTGCAAAAAAAGCAAACCTGAGACACCCATGTAATCTGAAACATTAAATTGACTGAATAGTTACAAACCTCCTTTAAAAATACTGTGGTCATTTCCTATGGAAAATATAGTTTCGAAAGAGCGCGATAGCTAGCGATTATCATGAGGATTTCGAGACCTGTTTTTTGTACGAGCAGCAAGTTTCTAGTTAAGTGGTTAAATTTCCTGTTTCCTTTCAATTTCGTATGTTGTCGCTGACTTCAAACTAAATACTAACATACTTTTTTCTAAATGAACACTTTCCACAGTCAGCTCCTGATATCTAGTAGTTTTGTGTTTAAAATGAATCCGATTATTTCTTGGAAGGTTGGACGTTCGAAATTGCATGATCACATGCACAAGGTAAGCCCTTACACGGGTAAACCAGTCACAAGAATCAAAATAACCGTCTTTTGTAGATGTTTAATATAAAATAATATCTTTTCATTGCTTTTTTATCATATTAGAGTTGTCGAACTTTTATTGTCATTTTGCATGAAATAATTAGTTGGTTTTGTTTTTGTTTTCTGAATTTCATTCTTTGCTTTGCTTCCTCATGTATACAAAGTAATGGATAAGTCTTATGACAGGGGTTGATTTCACATCAACACTTTACTCAAATACATTTTTGCATCTAACCTTTTTTACTTAAGTAACAGATGTACTTGTATTAGGTCTTTATATTTGTTATCCAGCTATCATAGCTTTCCACTACCATATTAATAAAACTTCATACAATTTTGTCATAGCTTTATCAATATTTACGAACTTACATCTTAGTTGGGTTATTTAGTTAACTGGAAAAAAGTAAGTATAATAAAATTTAAAAAAAATGTGAACGAGAAAGGTTTAATACATCGCCACTGAATAATATGAAATAGCTTACATATTTGCATATATGATTATTATATTTAACTCAGATAAGACTGCATTTTATGTATTTAATATCAATCACATGTAATTCCCAATTAATTAATTGATTATGTCTACAAATACGTATACTGAATAATATTGATCAGAAGATTATAATATCTTAACTTTGAGTTAGAATATATATAAAGTTACATTTATCTAATTTTCCTAGGATTATAACGATGAATTGGAAAAATTACGACGAGAAGTTCAGCGATATCGGATGGAGCTCAGTAACCGTGACAGTAACTTCAATAGAGTATTCTCTACTCAGCAACCTCTTACTGTGGACCCTAGAGCAGGAAAGATCGGGATGAGTTCCCAACAAGTTATTGCTTCACACAGGAGTAATGAACCACTGTTATCAAAAGAGAAGTCGTTTTCATATGCCTTTGTACAATCAATAGACGAATCCGTAAGTACTATTGTCGGCTTATGGGTTCATGATCTGTGTTATGTTACTGTTGAAGATGAATATATTTAACACTTTATAAATTTTATGCATTCTTAGCGCTTTTCAAGATTTACCTTCATCAGGAACACTCAAAGACAAGGATGCATAAGTACTGAAGCACGTTAAGATCGATATGACCAAAAAGGGCCTACAAATTATAGCCAAAATCCATCTAAGATCAACTTTGCATATATGTTAACACTCTCCGAAGGGGCAATCATTTAAGTAAATTAGTTCTACTAACTTAAAGGGAGATATGCGTTTACGACGAATATACGTCCTTTTGTGTCACAACTCGTTTGCGTCACTATTTTTCAATAAACCTAGTATTACTTGCACCAAAATTGAAGAAAATTTGTTGCATCGATTCTTGTATAATTTTTTCTAAGTTTTAAATTATGAGTCTCCTCACACTTAAGCAAGGTAGTTTATTATACTTGCTTGAAGACTGATGTTTATTGGTTTTTTTTAATGCATATACCTTTCTGGAATTATGTCTGTTTCTTGCGATTGTTGCTTTTGTACTGCGTCATATACATAAGTAAGTTTATAGCGTACAGTTGCTGGAAATTATTTAGACAATTCTCTTCATTGAAATTGAACAACACTGAACACTGACTTTTGACGATCTCTCGGATACTATTTGTGTCACATGCTATTCAAAGAAGCTTGTACTCTAACGTCTGTGTCTTTGTTTTGCGCAGATATGACAGAAATCCACTAAACACAGTCTTGATCTAATCATCCGAATTCTTTTCACCAATCGTCTTTCTTCGATGAAAGTCCTGTTTTCAAAATCCATATTTTATTGTATTTGAGATATCATTCATCATGGACTTATATGTGTAATAGGTAAACATGGGTGAATTGACAAATCAAAAAAATTAATTTAAGGCAATATAATTCCAAATTCTGACACAATTAATGCATTCGAAAAAAATTTCGGCGCAAATTTCATATCGAAAAATAAATGGAACAAAAATACAGTAGCCGTTGGTGAAGGCTTTAAATGTTTTTTTTTTAATCGTACTGAAATATGGTATTCCGTTTGTTTCAATTGGTTATATGACATGCATAGCTAGAACGTAAATAATCATTAAGTAGTTCGTTAACCTTTGAGAACAATCCGAATCGTAAATGTTGACAGTCATAAATAATGTGTTTTTTGCCTACTTATAAAAGACCCCTGAGTCTCAGTGGCGCATCCAAGGGGGGTTGAGGGTTCCGGGGGTTGGAACCCCCCTTTTTTTGGCCGATCAATGCATTTGAATGGGGACATATGGAACCCCCCTTTCTCCTAGGTTGGGACCCCCCCCCCCCCCATTTTTTTAAATGGCTGGATCCGCCCCTGAGTCTTTTGACTGTTCTACATGTGTAAACAATGACGCTATTTTCCGCAATATGATTTAGTTTCATTGACACATTAATTTTGATAAACACGGAAAAGTAACATCGCCGTTTCTGGAAAGTATTAAAAGTCTTAGTTGATGTCTTTCTATTTATTTTTACTAATTTCCTTCCGACGAAATAGTAATTAACAATGTGTTTTAGTTGATCAAGCTTGGGAACTGTATATTGTTAAGCAGTTTAATATTGTTTTTTCTCTGCAATTGTAAAACATTACCAAGGAATCATATGTACAATTTCAAACTTTAAAATCTATCTATCTAGTTGTTTCAGTCGTTCCAATGCGCTTGACTTCCCCTAACCGACTAAATATCAAGGATGTTTTTCTTATGCTTAATTTATGTATTTTATTTTCAGAAAAGACCGTCCAGTTCCAGGGCCTCTTCTGCAGCATCAAGACTACCGGTGCTTTCACAAGAACAGAAGAATCGCCTTACAAAACTTATGCGACCTAAACCATTATCTAAAGAGGCTTTGTACAGTAAATAAGACGATTTCTTTAAAAGAAAAAAACAATTCTATGTGCCAGACGGACAGTGGTACTCTTTTATAACGTCATAAGAGTACAAATGAACATCAGTCGGACAATTCAAACTTGAACTTCACAGAAATGTTACAGAAAGAACTGCACAAGTGCACTTCACCCCAGTGCTTCCATTGCATTTACGATTTTTCACAACCAAAGCATTTAATGCATCATTTTTCATAATCTATTCATTTCACTTACATGCCCCCTATATTACTTGATTACCGAAACAGTTAGTAAAAGAAGTAAAGGAATAATTAAAATTATACATGTGTGATATTTTTGCTTTCTTTACTTTCTCAAAGTAGTTTCCCTGTACAAAATTGCCTAACTATATATGCTAGATTTTAAATTGGATATGGAAAATATTGAATTATTTAAAGGAAATTTGAGGATGAAATTGTAGGGAATGTAATACTAGTATCTGATTTCTGCTCAATTTAAAACGCTTGACATGTATCCAGTAAATTTTAACTGAATTACTGAATAAACGAAGTTGTGGGATATACTTCAATGAACAGCAAACCCAACGAACAATTATACCAAATATATATATACCAATGTACAGAGTATAACCAAATATATCACAAGAGCAACGTCCAATCTTCATCCATAAACAGTTGTCAGTACACTATGTTTAAGCTAAAAATCGTCACGAGCCTCTACAAGTAGTGAATAACTTTAACAGAATCAACCAAAGATCTGCTAGCAACACCATATTTTCCAAATAAACAAAAGAACAAAACATTAAGGTTTGACATAAAACAACCACTTACTGTGTATTAGACTTAGGAAAGGCATGACTTAACCCTCTCCTTTTAATATCGATCATTGTTGAACTTGACAACAAATACACACAAAAACATAAAATAAAAATCAGTGCAGAAATTTTTTTTAACTTCAAAGGTGAGAAAAGATAACAAGTTAGGATGTATAAATACCCTGCCACGTCCGGTCTGTGTTTTTGTTAAATGTTTTTCTGCTTTGTATAGATCTGATGAGTTACATATAAGCTCACAAACATGTTTAACCCCGCCACATTGTTTATGTGCCTGTCCCAAGTCAGGAGCCTGTAGTTCAGTGGTTGTCGTTTGTTTATGTCTTGTTTTTTTCGTAAATTCTTTTGTTATGAATTAGGCGGTTAGTTTTCTCAATTTAATTGTTTCATATTGATGTCGGGGCCCTTTTTAACCGACTATACGGTATGTTTTTTTTCTCATTGTTGAGAGCCGTACGGTTGCCTATAATTGCACACATCCACTTCATTTGAACTTGGATGGATAGTTGTCTCATTGGCACAGCTCCTTATTTTTATAAGCAAAAACATATAAAAAAATTAAAAATATTTTACCGCTCAAAGAACACTCCCAGTTACTAATACCTAGCTCAAAGTGTACTTAACCTGTTGATACGAAAATGAAAACAACACTTGATAAATTTGGTGCGTCCGTAGCGCTTTTCATGGTTTACCTTCATCAGAAACTTACGCATCGACCAAATATTAAAATAGTGCGGATATTAAATTTTAATAAGAATGTCAGGTACGCTTAAACATTTCAAAGCTAAGGATGTATAAGTTCTTGAATACGTTATGAGCTATATTACCAAAAGCGAGCATAAAAAAAGCAAAATCCATCCATTAATGTTATTACTACCACTGGCTTGATACCCCTGCTGGTGGATTGTTAGTTCCCGATGGTATCACTAGCCCAGTAGTCAGCACTTCGGAATAAAATGGGGATATTAATAATTCCATGAAAATAAATTGTGAATTACAAAATTTACTATTTCTGTCACGTTTATCCCAAATGTTATTATCAGTAATTTTTACGGTTACAGTTATTAAATTATAGTTCTCACCATTTCCTCAAATATATTGAAATAGATTATAACCTTATTTGCATCAACACATTAATGTACTCTGGACAGCTCGAATTAAAATCATTCCTTATGAGAAAAAAACTGGTATGTTGCTACATGTACTGTATTAAACTACAGTTAGATATACATACGGAGTATATATCTCCCAGTTGATACAATATTCCAGGGCTGGTATTTCCTATCATGATTTCCTTGATAAAGGGTTGCTGCTCACAAGGAAGCTATTTAACAAAGAGTTCCAAGTGGTGATGTTGAAATCATTCATTCGTAAATTTTACGGACGCCATCACGTGTTGGTTGATCGTTATGGAATATCTGTTTCACAGATGACAACGGATATGTTCCAATTATAACTAGAATTTCGCCCACATTTTCCCGAATGTGACCTACCGAATTACTCATCACCGGGTTTGTACTAACATGAGCAACATGACTGGTGCCACATGTGGAGCAGGATCTGCTTACCCTTCCGGAGCACCTGAGATCACCTTCAGTTTTTGGTGGGGTTCGTGTTGTGTTTTGTGTACTGTTGTTTGTTTGTCTTTTTCTTTTTAGCCATGCCGTTGTCAGTTTATTTTCAACTTATGAGTTTGAAAGTCCCTTTTGTATCTTTCGTTTCTATTTTGATATATAACAAACTGGACGTAATTACATTTCCGCAAATTTCCTAAAGTTGGAGTTTTTTTTCTTTTCCACAAAAAAAATTATAATATGCTTCCCCAAAAAAAAGTACTTCTTTTCCGAAATTAACTTGGTCAGTTGCTGGCAATTTTCGAAAGGGAAAGAAATGTATAATTTATTAAAAGAAGTTTATACATACAGTTAAAAAATGAAAATATGGTTGGTATATATCGCATCTAAATTAACCATGTTGTAGATTGTTAAATATTTGATCAACTTCTTAGACCATAAGCTCCACAGGGTGACTGGGAAATAGACATATGATCATTTGTCTTTCTTCGACCGGCAGTAAACCCCTTGCCAAAGTGGCGCTTCCCTCTGGCTGTACGGAATGTACATGTACGCAGACACGTCCGATCAGAATATGGACGTTAAATCCGATGCCTCGCACAGAGATAGTGCCAGCCACGTCTTGCAACTAGGATCTGTAATTAAAAACGAACCACCGAAACTTTCCAGCCAAGACCCTAGTCTACAATGAGTACCGCCGCAAAAGGGGTTCAATAATCTTAGATACTTTGTTGTTCTTTTATTTTAAACAATAGCGGACGTTTACTTGCCCGTATAGAGTTTTAGTCTAGACATATAGTACAGAACATGGCGAAAAATATGATTTTATAGATAAGAGCAACAACTTAAACATGAAGAATTTTTTAATCTCCTTTTTTGAGACATTTTTGACAAAAGACAAAGGAAGTGGCCAATATCAAATTATTAATGTTAAATTTCAAAAACAGTCCGATTTTTCAGGATTTATTTCTTATGTCAAAGATCACATTAAATAGATATGATAGACAAAATCTTTTGAAACTGTTTACGGATATTACTTGATATATATTTATACATGTATTTATAAACACTGTCGGTTATAGCATTCAAGGAGTAAAAAAATCCAAGAACAAACATCTTGTATACAGATGATCGATAACCTTCAAGCTTCTTGCTATACATAGCAGACCCTGAAGTATCAATTTACCTCCAGAATACATCCCTAGTTTTGTCCCCAGCCGGAACGTGATGTGGGTGGGGCATAAAAATATCAGATGTCCGTACATGTGTCCGTCCTCTCGCCAAAGTGTTATCTGTTTATTTGCGGAATGAAAGTTTACGAGGAACCCCTTAATGCATGATATTGATCAAATACTTGTAGTATAAAAATAAGGAGATGTGGTATGAATGCCAATGAGACAACTATCAACAAGAGTTCAAAAGACCGATGGAATGCAATAATGGGTTACCGTACGGCCTACAACAATGAGAAAAACCATAACGTATAGTGAGCTATAAAAGGCCCGTCATGAATGTGAAACAATTCAAACGAGAAAACAAAAGGCCTAATTTATAACATTTCAATACACGAAAAACAAATACTAGTAATGACAAACATGAACCAACGAAAACCGCTAAATTGCAAGCGCCTGGCCTGGTACAGTGACATAAAGAATGGCGCGAAGTTACAATGTTTGTTAGCGCTTAACTCTGGGGTTGTTGTGTTACAGCAAAACATAAAAGAACAAGCTCTAAAAATCAGTTGCAAATCGCTGAACTCGATAGATCGGTACACGTACGAAGCACCCGGCCACGTGCACTTGTATTTGTAGTATTTGTATTTTTATCCATCTAATGAATTAGACCCAACATCACGACAGTGGTTGCAAAGCTTCTAGTCAATGTCAACTTTATTTTGAATTGGGATTACACAGTCGTGATTATGTAGTAGCTCCTTTTGTTGTTTATACAACACTGTCAGTGATTTACGACAATGTCATTTGATGTGTTCGAGCATCGCCGCACTTCATCACTTTGTACACTTGACCATTCATTGGATACACACGAATGTTTGCACCGCCTTCGTAAATTGATTGACACCATATTAGCTGTGTGCTGTAATAGGGAGAACACATATTTTATGTTTAAAAAATGCATCACTCTCCCAAAAAAGGAAAAAGATTGGTGCACAAGTTAGAAAATTTCAGATAATATATTTTGTACCGATGTTTCAAATAGTAATCACTAATCAACTGTGAAAGATGTTCTCTAGTCCTTAATTTTACGAGATCCATTGATTTCATTTAAATTTGAAAACAGAGGAGGTGCATACATTTGCTTGAGTTTTTTTTTGTAGGAAAGGAAATTTCTCTTTTGCATAAATGTCTGTAAAAATGTGCTCCTCCTTGTCGATTGAGATTTTTGCCACGTGCGTGAATATACATTTGTAAAAGAGGCAGCTTTTTTCTCACTAGTCATAATGAAAATGGCTTTCAAGCTTTAATCATAGATGCATAAACCCAATACAATGGGTTAATACATCTATGCTTTAATTAAACTCACGATTTTTTTTTATGAACAAAGATGTGATAGACAAAAAACTATACATTATTTTAAATGTTCTTCGATGCAAAATGCAAAAAGATACGGCCAATTTCCCCTGTATTTGTTGAACTCGTAAGGTCAATATTTAAAAGTTGCAAAATCCTACTGAAAACCGATTATCAAACAGTCTTTGTCATATTCTTAAATATTATTTCCCAATCTAAATTTTTATAGTTCGCTTAAACTAAAATGATATTCGGCGCTTCCTGCTTCTGTTGAATGCATATTTTGATACAAAAATGAAAACTTTACCTTTTTTTTAGTAAAATTTTGCATCGCTAACCACATTTAATTCATTTGAATCCGAAAGGCATTATATGTGTACACTAAGCTTTACATTCT